ATCAATATATTCCATTTAAGACATCAAAAAAAATTAAACTTAATGCATTGAACATCGGGTAGCCTATTTGCTTCTGAAAGACCAGGCATTGTTGAAATGTGAAAAATAAAAACATTGCATGTTTGCCTATTTTACAGGCATTCTTTTGTGATTTAATGTGTAAGCACACCAAACTCAAAAGGTCACACTGACATGCAAATTAGCAAGACAGCAAGACCACTGCTGAATTGTTTTTTTTTTTTTTTTTGCCAGAGTAAATGGGGCTGAGTCTGACTGAAAGTGAGCCTCGACACAAGGATGCATAAAAGTCACAGAGCTTAGATATGGAGAAGTCTCTGGTCAATTCTCTGCTGCCCTGTTTTTTTCAGCCAATAGCTTCCATTTCCTTCTCAATGAGGAAAAATGGGCACACGCTGGATCACTTGATTACTTCCATGAACACCGCCACGTGTCGCCCTCTGTTACCCGTGTCACTCGATGTTGTGTTCGTGCGCATGCGTGTCACATCATGGACGCGTTCAGTTAACATTAGAGGACACATTTCTTTTGCAATGCGAAGGAGAATATAAAAAGAGCGGGTTTAAAAAAAAAAAAAAAAAAAATCTGCGGTGAGCTTCGAAATCCGCGGCAAATTCTAGCGGGGGCTATCTATGGGAAGTTGTCGAGCTGTGATGTAGCTCTCCAATAAAAATTTGCACATGTACCTGATGAAGTGGCCTTAAAAAAATCCAGCTCAGTTGTAAAAACAACAACAAATAATTTTGAAAAGGGAATTCCAAATCGCAGGTTGCATTTTCCTCATTTAGTTAGATGTTTTGTTTTTTTAATCTACTGATATAACATGTCATACACGGTCTTCCCTCGCTACTTTGCGGTTCGGTTATTGCGGAATCACTCATCACGGATTTTCATTCGTCGTCTTAAACAGAAGAGAGAAGAAAAAGATGATGAAGAAGAAGAAGCAACGGGAGCCTCGACAACTAACTTTTGCTTTGCACAACAAGGATTTAAAAGAAACATTCATTTACCAGGATTGTACCTTTGGCTACAATGCGATGCAGGATTGGAGTTAAGGTAAGATATTTTAGGATAAATAGAAACATTGAACGTAATTATTAGCCAACGTTCCATCGACCTCATCCGCTGCCGTGTTGCAGAGAATGCTCCGCTCACTCAAATTTATAAATGCAGCCTGCAGCTCGGTATTTATTCTTCATTTTGCCTTTTAAAAGTTGGGATATATCACCTGCGAAAAGTGAAGAGCTCACAAATATTCCAGCAAATATAACAGGCATACCACTTACTTTAGCTTTTCATGGATTTACACTGAATCTTTTTTTTTCTTGACCTTCGTGAGCATACTGTGAACAAGGCAAGTGCATGCATGTGCATATTCCCCATTGCACCCATTACATCCGCCCGTATGTTGAGGGCAATGTGCTTTCAACTTGCGTAAAACTAGAAATATATGCTGTTGCTGTCAAACCGCAGCCTATATCATTTTTGTCGGCTTGCAGAATTAATGTCAGTTTGAGGCAAGCATGCTCTATTTCCTGCAGTTGGTTTCAAACTATTGTATCAAGCCGAGTGTAACCAAAGCAGCGTTCAAGCTGTGTTTCTGGGAATGCTGCCATCACCAAGCTGTCACGCTGCTGGCAGCCACAGAGACACACACACACACGCACGCACACACACACACACACACACACACACACACACACACACACACACACACACACACACACACACAACGCTCATGAGGACCCTTCATTAACAGCGTGCACTACATACTGCTTAAATCATAATCATAAAAATCATAATAAAAATTATTTTGGGTTTGAAACATAGAGATGAATTATCGAGGCTAACACACAGACAGACAAATACTCCACTTTCATTTGAACAGCACCGTAAACTGAGTTAACTCGTATGTATGTATGTCAGATAAGATAAGATAAGGAAACTTTATTTGTCTCACGATGGAGAAATTCGCATGAACCGCATGAACAACATCTCCTCGTAGGAAAGTGACTGATCCTTTGTTTTCGATCATTCAGAGGAATGTGTGCACAGTTTTGGGTTTCATACTTTCAACTAGTGAGAGAATACCAACAATGAAGGCCTGTCACATCTACAGGTAACACACTACAGCTGATTCATCATGAGTTGAAACAACTTTACACAAAAATTCTCCCCTTAAATATGAGTGTGTGTGTGTGATAAAAAAAACATTTCCTGTGTTTTGTGTTAAAAAAATAATGATAATAACAAGACGTGTTACTAAAACTGAACATACTCTGAAATTCACAGCTACAGTGAGCGTAACTTAAATTAAAAGGTATCATTTAAGTCTTTGAAGACCTACCCAGCACACAGAGTAACAAATAGCACTTTTTTTCCTAACCTGAGGATGTCATCCACGATAAAGCCTTTTGATCTGGCCAGCTGGCTCAGAAAACTTCTCCTGCTGGAGCCCATTTTCCTCTCCACTAGGTACAGTCTGACCTCCTTAAACTTCACCGCATGCCTGGGGACGCTGACGCTCGCTGGTTTTGACCGCTTCCGAACACAAGGCCCAACGGCAGCATGGAACATCTTTTCTGGAATGAGTTAAGTGTTTCTGCAGCCTTTGTTCTCATCTCTTCCATCAAGGAAAAAAAAAAACTAAGACACTCTTCCTCTTGTTTTTTTTTTTTTTTTTCCTAACAGTGTCACAGTTGCTGGCAGAGAAAGCGTCTGGCAACAGGTGTTGGTGTTGAAGATGAAGTTTTGGTGTTTACCATAGAAACACCTGCAATGTTGAGTGGCTTGTTTTTTTCTTGCCAAATATATGTTCCAATAATGGGCTTTAAGTGGTTGTGCCCAACAAATGAACTCCAAAGTTTCATTTCAAGTACAGTCCGGAATGAGTGGAGCTTCTCTCCAAGGAGTTGCCTGAATTCTGGTCACCTCACACAGCTGTCCTGCCATGTCCAGTTCATTTTGCCACTTGCTCACACATTATGTCCAGACCAAGTCAGCACCATCTGCTGCACCACTTTAATTAGCTTCGTATCGAAAAATGAGTCTTTGTGGAATTTCATCCACAACCTTTGCGCACACCGGTAGACAAAGCAGACCACAATATGGCTGAAGGAGAAGTGGGCAGGAGCACAAACTGATTACAGGCTTCATGTTTTTCTTTTCAAATAACTATTTAGGAAGACATTCTATTACCTTGTGTGATTTTGGTTCCACTGTTATAACTACAGCAAAACATCTTTTAAATGAGGAAGAGAGAGAAAACTCATAACATACTCTGTCAGACTCTGTCTGTTATGAGTACATCTCATTAAGGTTTCTTCACTTTGCTCCAGCTAGCTTGACAGAATTTATTACACTGCTCTCACGTAGCTTGGCCTTCTCTAGGTTAACGGATGTCATAGAGCAGAGTTGACTAATTTGACAGTTTACCCCTTACCCTCAATTACTCAGCTGGGTATGAAGGTGTTTGACCTCCTGTCAAATTGAGGACCATTACATTTTAATATCACTGAGACAAATGACTTCACGCGCTGTAGCATTGTCTGAAATTGCATTGAACCCAATTTCTCAACCGACTTCCTTCACAGCAGTCAAATGTCGACGCCAAATGACATCGTCCAATAACTATTCAGAGTTTTCCTACAAATCCCAACCTTTGTCTAAAACCATTTGTTGCTGGCTTTCATACAACTGGCATATATAGACTTGGTTCCTGGCCATTGAGATCTCCAGGTGGCTCGATTTTCTTTCTTTCTTGCTATCCTCCTGGATTAGTTTTTTTTTTCTTTCTTTCTGTGCCTTGTTAAAGGGATCTGGCCGCTTCCAGCATTGTGCATTCTGACAACACCGGGGGAAACAGGAACATTTTATTTAAGACCACAAGTGCAAATGACAGCAAAGCCTTTCCTGTTAAGTGATATCTACTGAGGTCTATTCAGCCACTACGAGGCATTTCCATGATGCATCGAGGGTGCATCTGCCGCTGCATGATCTTCTACTTTTTCAGAATATACAGAGCTGCACTTCATTTGCAAATGGAAAGTTAACGTTGACATATATTGTCTTCAGTATATATTTACTTCAACTTTTAAGCCACTCGCCACAACCTAGTACAGTATTAAACATTCAAACAATGATGTAACAATCACAGATGGGCATTCCGTCCCCGGGACAGAACGGTCCATCCGTACGGGCCCATTTTTGGGATGGAGGACGAGAATTTTTATTTATTTATTTATTTTTTATAGGACGGACTAAGCAAGGACGGAAGTGGGTCTTCGTCCGTCCCTTTAATCATCCCTAACGGGTTCAGTATGTATAACACGGCCAGAGTGTAGCCAAACACTGTATTTTTTTAACAGGCTATTTAACAGCATCATTTCAACGGTATTTGTATAGCAACACTGCCACCATATTAATTCAGTGAGATTATGCTAGATGACACATCTCCAAGGAGGAAATGTGAATATGCTTCCTCCTTGGAATTTGCGCCTTTATACATTTGGGAGATAAGCACTTAATCACAATGACCGACAGTGTAAATCCAGTGTTTCTTTGGTTTGGTTTGTACAAGCATACGAAACTTTGTGGCAAGGTGCTGCATCGGGGCAATAAATAATTCATATAAAAACAACAATTATTATTATTATTATTGTTGTTGTTATGATTATGATTATTTTTACACTGAAAAACATGTCAATTTTTACACTTGTTTTTGGCAGTCCAACCTGAAATCGATACCAATTTATTTGAATAGAATAAGGCCTTGAAAATGAAATACAGAGAAATGTACAGAGAGCCTCCCTTCTTCCATTTTTGGGATGTATCAGTTGAATCTCAGTGTAGGTTTTGGACCATTAATTGCTGCATTAGTTAAGGATGTGGGAGACTAATAATGAAATGACCTCCCACTGCGCACTTCTCTGTGCTGAGGCTTAAAGCTGGAGCTGCAGGATGTGACAGGTCAGTCTATTACTGTACTTCCAGGGGCACACACATTTCAACTCGGAGTGCCCCTGCTGTGAATGAAATGAACTTGCCATCCAGAGAGCAGTGTGATGGGTGGGACCAGCGCCAAGTGGCCTTATTTATGGGAAAGGTGAGTGATAAGAGCAACATTATGAAGTACGTTGAGAGTGCAGATGGATGCCAAGAAGGCAAGTTGACCTATTTCCTCTGTAAATCAGGCTCCGCTTGTGACTTACAGCATTTTAATGAGTAGAATATAAACGATGGCATTCAGTATAGAGCTAATTTGGGTTGATTTGTAACACAAAATGTCAACATTAAAAAATAATGAAAAAAAGATTTTTTCTTCAACATTATTCGATAACATTCATAATTTAAAGTATGCAGTATCAGCATCAATGGTTTCTTGATAAAGTTTCTACATATTGGTATTAGCGGATTGACCATGACAGAAATGTAAAAAATGTATATTTTGGGAATACTAATGCTGTTAATTGAGCAGAGCAGTGGCATAAATCTTACATTGGATGGTGATGGAATAAATTTGTTCAGCTCTGTATGTTTATTGCCAGAACAATACGGAAGACTGTGCTGCAGCTGTCAACAGAATGAAAATATGGGGACAGAAACTCATGGTGAGTACTGTAACTCCCAGTTTTTGTTTGCTTCAACTTGAAAATAACTATCCATTATTTGTTCATGTTTTAATCTTCTGAGGGTCATATCTGGCTTGCAGCTAAGCAATTTGTCATTCTAATTACTTCCAAATGGACAAATCCTAGCAAGCAATAAGATTATGCTGTTACAACAGCACAATGATAACATATACAGAGGCTGTTTGTCAAAAATGATTAAGAGGCAGTTTGGGATGCTGTACATTCAGTGCAACATTTTCCATTTGTCTTTTCATAATTACATACAATATTTCAAGTACAGTTGTCAATTTTACATTTTAAATGCACTGTAAACATGACCATTGTGATAGAGGCAAAATGAAATGTATAAAACAATTCCGTTGCCCTACTTCTCCCTTTCTACTTGAGGATGTAGTCAGTGGCCATAATTGTTCACTTCTGCTTCCACTTTCCTACAAAAAAGTAATGAGTCTCTCACTGCTTTGTCCCTTTTGACCACACTGTATGCCAGGGGTATCAATCCTATGGCCCGCAGGCCGGATCAGGTCTGCAAACGGGTTTAATCCGACCCACAATGTGGTTTTGTAAAGAATATAAATGAGTAGGGCCTGGTCTCTGGATATATATTACATGTAACTCTACCATGGCTGATATATCCATCCATCCATTTTCTGATCCGCTTAACCTCACAAGGGTCGCGGGGCGTGCAGGAGCCTATCCCATCTGTCTTCGGGCAGTAAGTGGGGTACACCCTGAATTGGTTGCCAGCCAATCGCAGGGTACACATAGAAGAGCAACCATCCACTCTTACACTCACACCTAGGGACAATTTTGAGTGTTCCATGAACCTGCCACGCATGTTTTTGGAAAGTGGGAGGAAACCGGAGTACCCAGAGAAAACTCACACAGGCACGGGGAGAACATGAAAACTCCACACAGGAAGGCCAGAGCCGGAATCGAACCCTGCACCTCTGTTGCCGATGTGCTAACCGGTTCACCACCAGGCACCCCATTAAACTGTATAACTCATCAAATACCTAATGGGCTGAGGCTTCTATCTTCACTGACATTGTCAAACATTCCATCATCTAAATTGTGTGATTGCATCTTGTTAAACTAAGACAGTAAACTGTATTATTATTACCTTCAAATCAAACCAAGTGGTAGTAATCACATGATGCCGAGGCTAGCAAAACAGCTACACTGTTATTGTGTTTCTCCTTCCCAATAATAGATATTCACATTAACATGAGAGGATTTTAAATTTAGCCCGGCACAAAGGTTTTGTTTTGATCGCTATTAGTTTTATTGCCGATGTGAAAGTGAGGCAGGGTACGCTTTTTTGTTAGTCCGCAGCATCACACAAAACACATGACATGTTTCCAGTGCACACACACTGATTAGATTACTAACATCACTGAAGGGCAATTTTTAAGATGTGAGAGACCCAACTCATGACGAGGAAAAAATTGGCTGGTGTGTGTTCTTACTGCTCTGATCGCGTGTATAGTCTACTTGAGATGATCGAACAGCACAAAACATGTATTCTGCCTGGACGCATGCAATCCTGAGTCTTCTTTCTTCCTCTTCCTCATCTTTTGAACACACACGAGGATTTTACAAACAGAAGTATTGAACGTGTTTTGCATTTACAATTGGAGGCTCTGACCGTTTTCCAAACAGAGTGGGGAAGAAAACTAACTTTTAACACATCAAGACAACCAATTATTTGGCCTTAGCTGACTTTTGATCAGAAGAGTGCCAGCTATTTAATTGCATTAGTTGTTTGGGTTTATTTTTAATAAGACGTTTTTTTTTTGTTTGTTTGTTTTTTTTTTGTCATTGCATATTCATGTAGATGTTTATGCATAAGTTGCCTTAAAAGGTTGGAAAATAATTATATAACAATACAGCCCTGGGAAAAAGACTCTTGAAACATTTGTTACATGTGACGCGACAAAGGCGATTCAAATATGACTACCTTGGCACATCTAGGTTGAAGTTCCAGAAACAAAAAGTTTTCATGATTGTACGAAGGTTTATCTGGTCTTTGAGTTTTTACAAGAAACATAGTAATCCCTCGTTTGTTCCAAAACCCCCCATGATAGGCCAAAATCCATCAAGTAGCAACCATATATTATTTCATTATCCACACACACACACACACACACACACACACACACACACAACAGATATGAAGTAGGCAATATGAACTTTGAGGCATGATAAGAGAGAACATTGGCTGTGTATATATATATATATATACTTGCAAAAGAAAGTGTGTGTATATATATGTACACACACATATATGTGTGTGTGTGTGTGTGTGTGTGTGTGTATGTGTATATATACTTTTTTTAAGCTCTGTGAACAATAACAGTACAAACTATGGCTGTGATGTGCAGGTATTATTTTTGTGACCTTGAGGGTTGTCATTTTCATTTTCTACACTATACAGTAGTATCTTTCGATGACTGAATGTGTGTGGCTATAAAAAGCGCAGCTTGGCCTGTTGAGTGACATGGGAGTCAGAGAATGAAATTTTGGAGTTGGCTGGCTGTGAACTGGCTCACCTGTTAGCCACTCTGCATGTTGAGTAACCTGGTGTCAGCTGTTGGCCATCGGGACCTCGTTTATGAATGTGCTCATGTTTATTTTTTTACCATTTGTTCACTAAGTGACTGAAAAGTGCACCAAACTGCCTTGACTGCCTGTGGCGGGTTTACGATTCATCCTAACTAGCAGTGAAAGGCTATATGTAATTAGCTAACAAGTTTTACTTTGTCATAGATGTGCAGTTGTGGAAGCCACTTCAACTATGCAGTATAAACTTTGCACTTTTTCTCCTTTATTTTCCTAAACTGTGGAGATGATGTCCTTTGGCGCTTTTTTTCTCCCGCTTATTGCTCTGCAGTGAGAGTCCATATGAAACAAATTGAAAATGAAAAATCTGTGAAATTTTATCTGTTTAAAAATCTGCGATACAATAAAAACTCAAAAAGCGAACCGCAATACAGCGAGGGACAACTGTATACAGTCAATCCCGTTTGTCACAGGGGATACGTTCCTAACCAACCTGCAAAGATGAAAATCTGGGATCTGGAGAGATTTCTGGCAACAACAAAAAAAATTGCCCCTTAAGCAACTGAGCCAACTTATTTTGAGCCATCGGTGCAGTTGCGAAATATAACTAGAGCACAAAACTGATGGAAATATGAATTGGTAAATGACATTGAACATTGTTTAATTCACCATAAAACAGATTATATTTGTATTATATTCACACAGCCGTCATACAAAAAGAGAAGTCATGCTTAAAAGAAGTGTTGACGAATTGTGGTTGAACACCATTCTAACAGCTGGTGAGTTATTAAGATTTGAAAGGAGCTCTCCACAAGGCTTCCAGTGTGCAATACGAAGGAGAGATATAGACTGCAGCTCTGAGAGAAGTTGTGTCTCATTTGAACAAGCACAGACACTCCTATAAATAATTCAACACTGGGACGATGCCTAAGTATCCACTGGGGTGGATTATTTGATATTTTATTCTGTGTCGGAAGGCTAAGTTTGATTTACACAGACACCCTTTTCCCCAGTGGAAATTGCATGATGATGAAGTGTGGGGTCAAGGTTCATTTTCTTTGAAGGAGGTAAAGCCTTTCATATTAAGCAATCTCACTCTCTGATTTACAAATGGTTAAATCATAAGACTCTGCTTTAAAGGGCATTCACTTGGCGCTTATTTTGGGTGATGTCTCTTACCTGGAGCTTCCTACCTTCAAACAATAAAGGTCATGTTAGTGGCTTTAAAAGCCTCCCTGAAGTGGTTTATACAATTGTACATCGATAGTCTTAGTAGAACATCACTGCAGTTTTTTTTTAATGAAATAACTATTCATTAAATGTAAAAACTGCTTATTTGGAATATGATATGAATGTGTTTCTTTGATTCTGTTTGTTTACATGGCATTTTACTGTCACAGAGTTCCCTAACATTCGGCCGAATATAAAACAAAGAGAAAGAGAGTAAGAGAGTTGGAGCAAAGAATGACCCGGAGCAATGAATTATGAATGAAGAAGGAATACATAATTTAGTTGATATTGTTGCATATTTTATGGTAATCATTTTCCCTTTCATTTACGATTGCCTTGCTGCTCCAAAGAAATAGTTAGACACCAGAAAATTTACCAGTACATTTTTTGTTTCCCCATTTATTGCTGGTGCTAATATAGCATCTCCGTGGCCTGGTGGTAAGTGTCTGTCTCGCAGTCCAAGCAGATCCCAATCTCTCCGTGGGCTTTTCTCTGTGTAGTTTGCATTTCTCAAGTTACTCTGGCTTCCTCCCACATTCCGAAAACACCCATGAAGAGTCTCAGTTTCCTCTCAGTTGATGGTGGTCTGTCTTTAATTGCCCTGCATACACCATGTAACAACGGCACCTTTGTTTTTCAGATAATTTGCTTTGCAGATAGTGTACTAAAATCGTTCACAAATGGTGTCCATTCATATGAACCACACGGTTTACAAATATAAGACTGCGCAGTGTCAAGTAGCACTCATCACGGGCACCTCCTGATGCAATGCTGCTCATTGTCTGTTGTTGTTATCATACTGTTGGTGAGACAGTGCTGCTTATTAAAATATGGAAATAAATGTGTGCCCCAGAAATGCCCCAGGGTGACCCCAGTATCACCTCTAAATGTTGGATTTAAGGAACAAATTGCAACGAAGGCAGAGGGCATTCACAACATGACGAAGTGAAATACTGCCATCCACTGTTTGCAAACAGGCCGACGTGCAAAATTACCTCGACAAAGCCATCTTGTTACTTATCAGATCTGTATGCAGCTAATCTCTGTTGTTTGAACAGACCATATCAGATGGCGACATGAGCAAGTTCCATCGACCGTAAGTACCAAGGACTACACTCTTATTACTCACCTCAGCCTCCTTAAAACAAACATAAATGTCAAAATGCCTTTGACAACACTATAAGATAAGATAAGATAAAATAACCTTTATTTGTCCCACACTGGGGAAATTTGCAGTCTACAGCAGCAAATGTTGTAAGTTTGAGTAAAGGACTGACTGTTCTCATACCAGATTGTCATTGTCGTTTAAAGTAAAATGATTATGGTACAGTATAACATGCTTACGAATGATTAGAGATATCAAAACATTGCATTTTATTTTGCTTTAATTTATTTTTTTGCTTGAATTCCAATATCATGTTTTTTTTTTTTTTGTCAACGATACGGGCCATTGCAAGCAAGTGATTCATTTTAAATCTGTAACCCACATTAGTGTTCCCATACTATTCAACAGCACTTTGAGTGCCTCCAGCAGCTACACACCCATGAATTGCCAACGCCGGCAGTTGGCGGGATCCCACACACAAAAGGCGTTGCTTGTTTGCCTTTACATCACCAATATACGGACGTGTTTTATCACACATGTACTGCACATGCTGATGTTCAACAGTGTGTCTGATATATTTAATGAATGTGTGTGAAAAATAATAATAATGGCTGACAGAAAAATATTTTTCTGTCAGCCAGAAAAATAATATTTTCCTGTCAGCCAGAAAAGCAACTGGGTGCACTCTGGAGTCAAGGAAGTACATTGCCACTGCCAGCATGTGGCAGTGCTGTGCTCCATTGGCACATTTTCCGATCCGCTTATCCTCACAAGGGTCACCGTGTGGAGGGGGCTGGAGCCTATCCCAGCTGTCTTTCGGCGGTAGGCGGGGGAAAACCCTGAACCGGTTGCCAGCCAATCACAGGGCATGGCACATGGTGTCAAATTTATTTATGATGAGGGTCCACACTGTAGTTATGGTTTCCCTCAGAGGGCCATTACAATTGTGAAACCATTTAAATGAATGTTCATATCATATTATTAGATATACACATGAAATTGATGGTTAACTACCGTACTTTCAAAATCAGAAGCCAATGAAAAGTGCTCAACTGTTATTAAATTCTTTTTAAAAAAGGACCTGGTAATGATTTTTTTTTTTTTAAAGGTTCAGAAAATTTACAGTATTAGTATTTTCACCCCCAACCCCTCCAAAAAAAGTGAATGTGTTACTTTAGCGGGCTGCATTAAATTATGTTCCAGGCCAGATCAGGCTCCAAGCTGCGAGTTTGACACTTTTGCATCGGAAGCCTTGACTGGTTGAGGATGTGCACATCATCTTGAACCTGGAGTCCACGGGAGATCTCTTCCATTCACCTGTATTGAGGTCACTGTGTTTGGTTCCAATAAACTCATCAAAACACATTCAATTCTTTACCAATTCTGACACGGATTGGTTTGTCAAAAACATCAGACACACAGTTACGACACCAGAAACATAGGTAATTTTATTATCGGGGCTTTAAACATATTAAGTATAAAGGTAAGTTCAAATGCTTTTACATTTTAAAAAAGAGAGATCAGAAAGGAAAACAAAACAGCAACAACAAACGTGACCTTGTATTAGCAGTGACTATCTTGAACAGTGTGGAGTTGACTCAGCAGTCATGAATCTAACCTCACGTCACTGTGTGGCTTAAGTTTGGTTTCTTCTGGGATGTGTTCACTTATTTCCACTGTTGATGTAAACATTAAACACACACAGACACACACATTTCAAGAGGCTTCACAAAAGAGGAATGCCAAAGTTTGGTTGTTTCAATGGGCCACAGCAGGCTTTGTGTAGTTAGAACACGCAAAGGATTTGCAAGTGTTATTCACTTGCGGTCTATTTTAGGTCTATCTGGTCCAATGCTTTTGATCATCTCAAAATGTCCACTTTGTTTTAACATATCCAATTTTCTGTGTTTTGTAAACCTGAAAATGAATTTGGAAATGTTGATCTTGCGTTTCATATTCATCTTTAGAAATCAAAGACAAATTGTTTCACTCTAAGCAGCAACAATACAGAATGTGTGTCTCAAGACTATTGAAGGTGTGTGTATGTACAGTACACACAATCACATAGAGATGCCATTAGTCTTGGACATACAGCACATGCGTATGTTTTTTTATTTGAGTCAAACTACATTAAATGTAACTAGTTTTCCACGAGTGAGTCTAAAAATCCAATGGTCTAACATGCACTTACGCTACTCCTTCAGATGTGTTCATTGCAATCGTCCAAAATAAGGAAGCGCGATAACAACCTTAACCAACACCGGACGGTTCCCACAATGCACCTGCTGATACAAAGGTTTTGCTGAAAACTGTGGTCACCCAAATCAACATTTGTGTGTGTTACGTTAAGTGTGGGGGAGACATTGACGTAGAAAAGAGAAGTGATTCTTTTTTTTTTAGCACTATAATGAATTCCAACCTCTTGGTGACGAAGGTGTGACTTATTTAAACCTACTGTACAGTATGACATAACTGACACTTAAATATGTAAAGAGGAGGGGGATTGACGACAAACATGGACATTTTTAGTAAAGTCACAGCTTCTGCCACAGCAAAGATTCGGTAAGCTATGTGAATTTTTGACACCATGTGAACGATGATGCGAGTTTTATTTTGATATTTATAGGAATGTGTTACAGGTGCAAACACCAAAAGGACTATAGCCTATGTGCCTTTGCCTTTCTAGAAAAACGAACAAAAGGAACACCGCATTTAACCCTTTCCCCATTAATGTTTATACTGCAGCTTCTCACTGACCAAGAGAGTTGATCTGTTTTCTAGGCAGCTTCAAAAGATTGCTCAGGACATCCAGAAGAATGATTCCAGCTACCTGAATAAATTTAGAAGGTACATTTATCTTTTGATTTTTTTTTTTTTTTTTTCCTTTACATACTGCCCTGGTCAAATAGGACTGGCCTTGATATTAGACTGCAATAAAACCTCTTGTAAGGTGACCCCAAATACATAAAAATGAAAGTAATTCATGGTGGGAATCTTGAAACTGTGAAAGTGTACATGTCATAAATATGTGTCATTTTTTTTATGAGACTGTGGTACCAGAGTGCACTTGAAACAGTCCTGAGAACTCTCCGTGCCCCCCTATATTTGCACAGGTTACTGCCAGACATGCCCCTGTTGGTCTTTGAAGGGTCATGATAGAATCTCAAAGCAAGAAGAGTCCAAGTCATGTATATGTGAATTTTTATGGATCAGTGGAGATGGATTTCACAGGGGAGTTTGAAACAGTCCCCAGATCTGTCTGTGCTGCGATATAGACAACTATCAGGAGGCTAAATTGACCCAAAATGGACTACAGGTACTTGTGCATGGAAAATGAACGATATGCTGCCCTACTATTACAGCAAATAAAATTACATGTGCGTTGTTCATGACAATGGCAGATTGTTAACATCTAAAAATGAATCTTGGTGACAAATGTTTCTGCTTTCACAGTAATTTCCACAGGAAAGACTATGAAGCCAAAAATAGCTCAAATAGATGGCCTCTGTCTCACTTACTTTTTCTGATTTGAATCCCCTTAAGGATAGAGATCACACAGAGTTGCTACACTGAAGATTTGTGTTATTGAACCGATGTACATGTCTGCTCGGTTCAAAACTGTTTCCACCTTCTCACATTTTTAGACCCAACAAGGGTTTTCGTTGCTTGGACTAAATGGATGGATGGATGGATGGATGGATAACGCACGCATGCCTGAACGAGTGGGTGCTTGGGTGTAAAACATGTCAAATCACTTTTCAGTCATAAATACTCTGTTTGTGTTGTCTTTCCATATGGCAGACTGAAAAGCAAACCAGGTCCAGAGGTACCTGTGAGAGACTACAGAGGTAAGGTGATGGAAAAGGCAAACTGAGGCACAGCAGGGGCACCGTGACTCATTGAAAAGTTTTAAGAATGAATTCAGTATCCAAACCTTTTCTTTTCTCATGTTCGGGTTCAGGTCAATGACTGATCATTTCATTTGTCATTTGAGACAGTTTTGTAATTAATTTTACCATTATATTTTTACCAACCACACTAATCCACCAAATATTAAATGTTGCTTGATTAAATGTCATAATTTACATGTGTCTAAATAGTACAAGGCTCCGTTTTGTAGTTTAGTGTAAAATCAATAATGTTATTTGTTTGTCTTGACAATAGCCCCAACTTTTGATTTTGATTTTTGAAGTCTGCACAATCAATGGCCTGTTATATTACTGGTACTGTAGATCTACATTTTTACCTTTTTATTATGATTCCATCTTTGCTTCTAGACAAGGAAATACAGTTTGCTGCTAGAAAAAACATGATTTAAAAAAAATAAAAACTGTTGATTCGAAAAAAAATAATAATAATAAAATATTCATTATTGGCCTATTGTCAAAACACTCGTTTACTGTGATGATGGACAAGTGCAAAATTGATAAAATATGACATATGCTATTTTTTTTTAACATAACGTTTCATAAGGCATTACGGTGACCTAGTGATTGTCTATCTCAAAGTTGAGAGGTCAAATCTCAGCTTCGGCTCTCCTTCGTAAAGTTTGCATGTTCTCTCAGGTTTGTTTATATATATATATATATATATATTATATATATATATATATATATATAGCACTTTTTAAGAGTGTAAAGATAGATGGATGGATAGATAGATACAAAATACAATATGGTGATTGCAGATGAAGACATGGTGGGTCCAGAGGATGCGTCTGAACCAGACTATGTAAGTTTGAAAAATTTACTTTATTCACACAGCTCAACAGTTCTTTCTAAACTGGCACACTTTCCAATGTATGTTGTCCACAGGATAATGAAATGTACGACAATCCACAAGAGCACGATATCAACTATGAGCCGCCTCCCAGCCAAAAAGTCTTCACCAGAACCTCTTCTTCATCCTTCCTAACGGGGGATTATCTTGGTCAGTGTGCCCGTCGTTATCACAGATAGTGAAGTCCAAATCCTTCCTGATATATTCAAAATTCAAACATGGTCTGATCCTTTTTCTATAACTTTGATAGTTTCTAAGTTTTGACAATACTGTAGCTTGTACATCATCACTATAATACAGCAAGTTGAACCAGGTGCTTTTTGTGACATTTTTAAATAGAAACACTGTCAAACCAGCACCTCAGGGGGATTCAGAAGGAAGCGTTATGCAAATATTGACGCTTTACTTCTCCATTACAGACAGCTGCCATAATGGGCCAAATCTGGGACACAAAAAGGCCTTCAAACGGGGCAAAGAATCTCGACAACTGCCCCCGGAACCCACACAAATCGACAGTCATGACGTAAGATCAAGATTCAAGTCACGGGCATTAAGAAATTATGCCCGTCAATTCAAGCTATCTTGCAGGCAAAGAAATGACTTTAAAGTGTGTTGTCCTTGCGGCTCTACAGGCAGACTACATCAGTCCAGATGGCAATACCGAGGATGACAACTATGTGGAACCTGAAGACAATCCCACTGCAGGTAAGCTACACCTCTGAATAAAAGTAGGACAAATGTGAAAGTTGAGTATAGTAAAAGCTGGTACCAAATGCTCCTCACTGTTCAAGGTTATATGGACAAAAATACTTTCCTGATGAATACTTTTCTACACTCACCAGACACTTTATTAGGTATACCTGTCCAGCTGCTCGTTAACACTTTTTTCTAATCAGCCATTCACATGGCGGCAACTCAGTGCATTTAGGCATGTAGACATGGTCAAGACAATCTCCTGCAGTTCAAACCGAACATCAGTATGGGGAAGAAAGGTGATTTGAGTGGCTTTGAACGTGGCATGGTTGTTGGTGCCAGAAGGGCTGGTCTGAGTATTTCAGAAACTGCTGACCTACTGGGATTTTGACGCACAACCATCTCTAGGGTTTACAGAGAATGGTCCGAAAAAGAAAAAATATCCAGCAAGCGGCAGTTCTGTGGGCGAAAATGCCTTGTTGATGCCAGAGGTCAGAGGAGAATGGCCAGACTGGTTCGAGCTGATAGAAAGGCAACAGTGACTCAAATAACCACCCGTTACAACCAAGGTAGGCAGAAGAGCATCTCTGAACGCACAGTACGTCGAACTTTGAGGCAGATGGGCTACAGCAGCAGAAGACCACACCGGGTGGCACTCCTTTCAGCTAAGAACAGGAAACTGAGGCTACAATTTGCACAAGCTCATGGAAATTGGACAATAGAAGATTGGAAAAACGTTGCCTGGTCTGATGAGTCTCGATTTCTGCTGCGACATTCGGGTGGTAGGGTCAGAATTTGGCGTCAACAACATGAAAGCATGGATCCATCCTGCCTTGTATCAACGGTTCAGTCTGGTGGTGGTAGTGTAATGGTGTGGGGAATTTTTTCTTGGCACTCTTTGGGCCCCTTGGTACCAATTGAGCATCGTTGCAACGCCACAGCCTACCTGAGTATTGTTGCTGACCATGTCCATCCCTTTATGACCACAATGTACCCAACTTCTGATGGCTACTTTCAGCAGGATAATGCGCCATGTCATAAAGCTGGAATCTTCTCAGACTGGTTTCTTGAACATGACAATGAGTTCACTGTACTCAAATGGACTCCACAGTCACCAGATCTCAATCCAATAGAGCATCTTTGGGATGTGGTGGAACGGGAGATTCGCATCATGGATGTGCAGCCGACAAATCTGCGCCCACTGTGTGATGCCATCATGTCAATATGGACCAAACTCTCTGAGGAATGCTTCCAGCAACTTTTTGAATCTATGCCACGAAGAATTGAGGCAGTTCTGAAGGCAAGAGGGGGTCCAACCCATTACTAGCATGGTGTACCTAATAAAGTGGCCGGTGAGGGTATGTCTCTCATTAGATGCTAAGATGTTTCATACAAACAGAACCATGAAAGGCCACCCCGTATCCCAACTAACTTTACCAAAGTGTCAACCCAGTTCAGGTAGGTGAAACAATATGCAATAAATCCAAAAATTGCTGAAGGCTCTGAAGGGCCACACCTCCCAATTTTTGCTTCCATTCAATTTATAGCAAGGCAACTACAACACATCGCTCTGTGGATTAATATAACTTCAAATAGACAAGTACAAAATAAATTAAGTACATGCACAATGAATGAATATGGATATAATAAAATCTTTTATACATGTAGAGGAACTTTATAAGTTAGATTTATGAATATTGGAAGTAATGAAGCACAAATACTTTGTTACTGTACTAGGGTATTTTTCAGGTATCTGTATGTGACTTTTTACTTTTATTACTTTCGCCTTACTTTGTCAAAAGTGTGTGTGTGTGTGTGTGTGTGTGTGTGTGTGTGTGTGTGTGAGATGCACAGTATGTAGATGTGTTTAACTGAATATAACATTATTAAAACATTAAAGTGCTTTCATACAATAAAAAAGAAATCAAATTAACTACTGGCATGTATATACATTGACACTGAAACGCAAATTTGGCTTTTTTCCCTCCAGATTTTTATGAAGTTCCAGACCAAGAGGTGAGTTTTTTCGTATAAGTGTGTAAGTGCGACAACAAATCCGGCTTCTTCCTTTAATGTATTTATGGGATTGTTTCAGGCTCATGTTTCGGCATACAGGTAAACCTTATATACTTACCTATTACTGTACTCAAGTTAAAATAATACATTTGAGAATGAAATTAGCCTTTACTTCTAAACAGCGCTAAAATGAAATTGAAAAAGAGAAACATAGACGGCCCAATTAACCCTTATGCAGTAATACAGATTGTTACGTTTAAAGTATTTGTCCCAAATTTGGTTGCACTTTGAGGTGTGACAACTTTTTTCACTTTTGAATTTTTTTTCACTTTCAACTTTCAAAATGTTCAGTGGCATCCTGCCAAGACATTCATACATATATATTTTTATTTATTTATATTTGGCGCCCTCTATGGGCCACAGCAGCAGGAGTGTGTCAATCACACACTAACTTTGCTGCATATGTCAATAAAAAAAAACAACCAGTCCAAATCTTGCATATGACATAAATAGAGCCTTGAATATGTCACCAAACCGCAGAAACAGAATTTTTCTTCATGCCTGCTTTTTTTCTGCAATGGCCATTTCAAAATAATGCAACATAAAACGTATTTGTCCAACATTGGGTTGCGCTTTGAGGTGTGACAACTTTTTTCACTTTTGAATTTTTTTTTCACTTTCAACTTTCAAAATGTTCAGTGGCATCCTGCCAAGACATACATATATATATTTTTTTATTTTTTTATTTTTTTTTACAATCAGAACAAATGGTTGTAGTGTGTTTGTGGAAGATGGCCTTTCCACATCTGCCACAATAATTCGAAGCACGAAGTGGTTTTTCGCAAAAGCTATATACTTTCTCTTTCTCGCATGCACATGATTGGCATACTTTTCGTGCGTTTACGTGCATAAAGTTCCCGTAGTTCTCCGACATATAGTTGATGATCTTTCGCCCAACGTAAAACTCGATTTTCAGAAAAAAAAACTTGATTTTCAAAACAACGTCCAGCCAGTAACTATCGTTGCAATGCATTGTATTCGTTAGTGCGTGCTGCAACCTCAAACAGCAATGTTCGTGCAACACACGCCCAGGGCACTGGGCATGCCTGTGCACAAATGCACATTGTGCATGCGCGATCGACTGGCGTGCAGACGAGAAAAAAGGCTGACAAGCCCATCATTTCAAATGGCCGTAAGTACACTCCTAAAACATGGCTGTTTAGCCTGTGCTCAGCGCGTTCACGCGAACGCGCGTACCCGCGCGTCACGTTCATTCCGAGACCACACGGCCGGGGCATGCATTGCATAACAGCTTGACCAATTCAAAAGTCGATTTTCAAAAAATAACACCTGATTTTCCAAAAAGCACCCAGCGAGCAATGCTCTGCAAACTGCATTACATTGTTTTGCACGTGCGCGCGAGCGTGAACGTGCAAAACAATGTAATTTATGCGCAACATACGCGGGTGGGACATCTTTAGAGGTGACACCAGGAAGTTGAGTCGGTCTGGCTGACGTCTCTGCAAGAGACGCGTACGACCTGACAATCCAACGGGCACAAAATGGCGGAAAAGTACTGCTTCGATGTCTTTGATCAGTACTCTTCTATATGACGTGCACATACGATCATATCCATACACATAGATGCAAATAGACCTCTCGCAACAAACTACACAGTTTATTCGAATGAAAATGACGAATCGGATGTTTACGAAAGGACGTAGTGAGCCGGCCGAGAATTACATTTTAGGCTCTGGCGCCATCTCATGGAAAGTGAGGGACAAACCCTACTAACACAATTCTCAAGCTTTGATAGTATTGGTGAGCCGCCGGTGATGTGATTTGTGCAGAAATTGAGAAAAATGCACGATAAAACACCGGGTTTAGAGTCTATTGAAAATTGGAATTTATAATGGCCGTCAATGTGCCATTTTTTGGATTTATACTTTAAGCAGTGGCAAAATTTG